AGTGCCCTTCGGAGGGCGATATATCCCGTTTGGAACGCACCGTCATAGTACGATTTCACAGTGACACAAGACCAAACATGACTTGAGAAAAAAACAAATGGAGAACAATCGACATCGTCAGCTTGCTCTCCAGGCATGCATTCTGTTTCACAGTGAAAAACAAAGTATAAAAAATAATATGTGATGTATTCTGCTTTCGTGGTATGTTTGTGGAAGCCAAGTTTCAGCTATATAAGTCCGCAACATCCGGTAGGTGATGCTTGTCACGCTATCGCAGGTATCACGTAGAGGGCAGCCCGATCAAGAGTCGTAAATATCAAGTATGTTTGATATTTACGATTTGAGTTTGGGGACGTGCCGTCTCGATCGGGAGCAGTTAAATAATCATAATGACACCAGTCAATAGAGGATTTTTTGGGCAAAAAAATCATTTGAGATAAGCCTCGAATTGGGCCCCCCCCCCCCCCCTGATCGTTTGAGGATGCAAATCGGGCTTAAAATCATCTAATGGCGCCAGGCTTAAGAAGCCTCCAGGAACGCGTTCTAGGGATGGGCCCTCACAGCATGGGATACCCATCCACGCTTGAGAGATTCGGCTTGTCCAAATGTACGCGACAGAAAGTACGCACGTAAAACTGTCCCAGGTCTTAAAAATGTCAAAGCGCAGTGCCCTTAAAGGTCCACTGAAGTGCTTTGAAAAATGCAGCGTTGTTCTGTGTGTTGACGTCATTTCAACTGAAACAGGAAGTCAGGGCGGGACATATCAACCAGCCCCGCCCCCTTTTTAAAATAGCCAATAGCGTTTCATTTATATTACAGTTTGGACCAGAGCCGTTGAGCTCGCTAAAGCCGCATTTGACAGCATATATATCAGCCACAATCTCATATTGCAATAAAAAATAGCATTCCATGTAGAATTCAAATTGGTCTGTTAAGTTTTATGGTCTGCGCCGACTCGTGCATATTATCCGCTCCGTGTATCGTGTCTGTGGACCGGAGCAGACTGCATGCACAATGTGGCGTTTTACAGCGTGAAACCAGACTTCATTCACCCCAACGGAAAGCATATTTACACTGTCTGAATCATTCCCTATCCCCTATGTAGTGCACTACATGCCATTCACCGAACAGAAAATACAAATCCTGTGAACAAGTGACCGATTTGAGCCG